TCTCGATCTGTTGGGTTTACAGGAACTGGGGAGGAACCGGGAGCTCCCCCTGCTAACGCGAGGGCTGGACTTGAACCGCTGAAGCGTCGACCATTTCTGGCCAGCAACTTTCAGCGTCATTAAGCCGCTGTGCCACTGCGTCCCCCTAACTCTTAGTTAGTTTGGAGTAATTGGTCTTTTGCCATAGTTTAATCAGAGTGTATGTAGATAGATAAGCATTTAATAGAAATAGAAATGTGTATATGCATTTAATAGAAAAAATTATCTATCCTATATTTATGATAAATAGTACTTGATCTATTAAAATACTTATAGCACCAATTCTGACTATAAAATCAATCTCTGTATATATTGCACAAACTAGAGGAATATTTTACATTTTATATGAGGAAATACTGTTACTCATTTATTTATAGGGGTAATAATATACTATAAATAGCAAATTGCCACATGTTCTCCTACGTATAATAGATGATATTAATTTATTGTTGATCTAGAAATAACTATGCAGGCATTAAAATAAATATAATAATGAATGTATATATAAATTAGCTTTGAGCTTAAGCACCCAATTTTTTTTTTCACACAGCTCTTTGAATCACTAATTTCTAGCAATGATTCTTAGTATTCATCCAAATTCCTGTATTGTCATGTACAAGGAATAACTGCCGCTCTATATTTAGCCTATGGGACTTCTAGAAATGTAAATGGCCAATACTTTTTAGCCCTTCAGGGTGTTTAACATGGATTTAGAATTTCAAACATATATACCCATCATGCTATTCCCTTTTGGGATAAGAATCTTATACAGAATACAGAAAAGGACTAAAAAATAGTAAACCAAAGAAATTGAAGTCATGAGATAAGAATAAGAAACATTGCTAAAACTACTTTATACCAATACTATTTGCCTTACCTTTCCATTTTTACAAATCAGCCTTGCTTCCATGATGTCCATACACCACTCTATATATTGCCTACTATTCGTTAAACTTAGGAGCTCATCAGTTTGACCCAAAACACAATTTTCTTGATATTTGCCTTCCTTTTGATCCTCCTTCAGTCTTCCCTCACATATTGTTTTAAAATTTGATCCTCATTTATTCTCTCTATATGAGCAAGCCACCTGAACTTCTTTCATACTGGTCATTCATTCATTTCTTTCATTCATTATTCCACCATGCATCCTTTTGATACTTGCTATTAGTATAAGTCCACCCACTTCTCTAGCAGTCTCTAACAGAATTCTTTTCACTCTGTTCCAAGCATCTTTCTTGTCCTCTTTTCTCATGTCCACTTTCTATTTATTCTATTGAGAGATTAATCTGTCTTCTAATACTTTTTCCTAAAGGATTCATATTTTCTCTTTCTACAGTTGTTCCACTCTAGTTTCTTTCACTTCTTTCTTTTCCTTCCATCTTTTTTTTTCAGACTTCACTCTTTACATTATTATCTTTCACTTTTCTCTTAGTTTTGTAGACTCATGCTATATCTATTTTTTCTTATATCATTTCATGTAGTAATTCATGCTCTCCCCTTTAATTCTCACTTTCAGTCTTCCATATCCTGTAGTCATTACTGGATGAGCCCACATATTTTGACCATTGTTGCCTATTATAGCCTTGGTCAATTGAGGCTGTCATGTAATGCTTTTTAATAAAGTAAAGTATAGACTGTTATTTGCCTTAGTTACAGCCTTGGCACATGCATCATACTTTGCTAATCATAAAGATAATGCCAGAAATTTTGGGCACAATTTGGTCAGTAAGCAATAAGCACATTCAAATCAAAGTTTTATGCCAAACCTGAATTTCTAATCAAGAGACTATCTTGCCATATCCTGAATTAAACAAACAATACAATTTAGGAGAATATATGTACCTCAGGGTTGAACTATGGA